ATTTCTCTGTCTTGTTAATTTATCTCTAGGATGAATTAAGGCATAAAGCAGCGAGAGTGCAACTGATTCCAAACAACTTGGAATTTTATTGTAAACATCCCATAAAGAATGGCAACAAATTAGTCCAGTATTTTTTTTGTCTTTGAAGGTAATTGCTTATAATGACCAACAACTGCCAAACAAAACATCTTTTATAAACCAAGCCAGTTTTGTTTACCTTTTTCCCCACTGAGTTTTAGTTTAATGGACATTCTGCCCATATACAGCATAACATCAACTATTAAATGAATGGTTTTTTTCCATCTTAAAATTTATGGACACTAAGAACAAACACAAAGTACAGCTTTGTTAATACTGTGTAAAGGATTACAAAAGACAAGGATGATAAGTTACAGAACAAAGAAATAAATTACTGATTGCCATCACCACAGCATTGTTTAAAGAATTAACATTTGTAGTACTGCCTAATGTATATTTGGTGACATATGCAAAAAACACATTTTCCAACTGGGTTTCTAGGTATTTCAATATGGGATTTTTAAAAGTAAATTACTAATGGTGATCTCAATATGTATCAATAATTTTATTTTTTAGAAAATAATTACCATGCTTTTATATGTCTAAGTCCCATATTCTAGATTTAATTAAGATAGGTATAAGAATAAGAAATGGGCATACATATAAATAAACACACCTTAACTCTAAACTGCAGGGCCTTTCTATTGTACTTCCCTCATAAATGAATGGAAAATTTCCAGTCTGGCTGAAGTATGCTACATTAAGTGCAGTCTTCGTTGTAGAAAGAGAAGTGGAGATAAGAGTAAGTCCAAGAGGAAAGGTGAGACAAGGAATACTCAAGGTGATAAGACTATACCAGGGAATAAATAACAAGAAACCTGAGTGCTATTCATGTTCCACAAAATACAGCACCATGAGATCATTTAACTTTATACTGGATTTTAATCCAAACTTTGTAAATATGATAAATTAACACTTGGTAAAGAATCTTTGCTAAGAGAGGCAAAATAAAAACAGCATGCAACTATTTTACCAATAATTTTTAAAACGAGCTTTAAAATGATCTAATAATATTTTAATAAAACACCCATAAAGCCTTTCATACCACAAAGAGGTTGTGGAATGTGTTAGCATTGAAAAGAAAGGCCTTTAAATATCTAGTCTTATTCCTTCTCCCTGGAACTATTAACTTCAGATTTTCAAATGTTAATTGTAATTGCTTAAAAGGCTGGGCATCAAATAGTAGTGAAAAATCAAATATTTTAGGACCCCTTTTTAAGGGCATGAAAATTCATGAAAATTCAACTTTAAAGATAAGTACCAGTTGGCAAATGTGCATAAAATGGTTCCATATATACACATATTGTGTATATCATTGCCACAAACTTAAGACATTTTGAAAAATGCTCAAAAAAAGTTTCATTAAAAAGTTAGGAGTGGTATTCACCTCTTTCCCTTTAGATCATTGTATTGTCTGATGACAATCTACTTTAAAATATCTGCAATATAATTTAGATGTATGAGAACTCCATTGTGTAGACTGAAACTTGGGAATTTTATTCAGTTGCTTTGCCTCTGGGTGAAACAAAACACTGTAAGGAAGAATTATAGAATAAGCCTGATTTCTGCTGAGGGAAAGAGAAAAAGAAACAAGTAAAATGGCAAATTCAAAGAACAGAGGGACACAGTTATATGACAGAACCAGAACTGGTTATCGAAGAGACATAATGACATGGATGACTAAGCATTAATAAATGCACAGCTAAGCTCTAAAGAGGCAAATAATTTGTAGACAGTGTCCTCCATATAAAATATTCTCTTTTTTAATGTCTGGGATAAGGTATGGCAAACTGGAAAAACCTCCATACACACAAGTACACAAATACTTATACAGAAACAAATTTAGTTATTAGGCTAGTAGGTTTGCCAATGTTTCAGAGAGCATCCTATTGCTAAATGAGTTACATACAGCAAGCCAGAAAAGAATACATGATTGAGTTTTATAAACATATACACATGCTAAGATCATAAAGCTTGGAATCTGAACATTAGCATTTATGAGTGATATTATAGCTTACTGGCTATTCAGATATAGCATAGGATTAAGCTTATACATGTGTATGCTCTCATGGGCCTAAATAGAACAGTGGTCTTCATTTGCAGAATTCTTAACTCATTCCCTAATTTCTTTGCTATGGCTGAACCCAGATCTTACTTAGGTTTAAAAGATCTCTAGAAAACGGAAATGATAAAGTATTCAATATGATATAAATTATGACACATTTGTAGGAAGTGGTATTAAAAAACCCAAAATATAAATTGAGGAAAGGGGGAAGTCCAGATTAGAAAAGTAAAAATATCATTTCCCAGACTTTTATTTTCACACTTATGAAAATAATTTGCATGCAAACAGAAAATTATCTGTTTGTTTTATAATAAATGATAACTATGTTCACCTAACATACCCTGGTGACTAACTCTTTAAATTCTAATAACTGAAGTCAACATCACAGCAAAATGCTGCCCACTAGTATTTCACAGTATTTCACTACATAGAAAATATGCTTAAAAATGTCTTTAGCCTTATTCTTCTAATTCTGTAAGCCTAAAAAATCTTGACATTTGGGGAATAAATGTGGCATTTTCATTTTTCAAAATAAATTATAAATAAAGCTCCTGACAGCTAGCATCATACAAATGGCGATTCTTCTACGTTTCAAGAGCTCAGCTCTTCATAGAAGAATGCCAACAAAAATCTCACACTAAAATGGTACACATGATACATATTTGGGTATATCCAGGAATTTAAGCAACTACAATATGTCGGTTGTTGTAGGACAAAACATTACTGACTCCAGGAAAACACAGGCACAATTTTAGTCTAAACGCCCAAGAGATGAAAAACTGAAATAGTATGTTTTAGTAAAAACCAAATGTAGACTCTCAAAATAGGAACATGTTGAATCTATGCTATGGTTAAAATGGCAGCTGAGTTATAACCAGAAATCATTTTGGTATGGTGAAGAAAAACAACAACAACAAAAATATCAGCTTGGTCTGCTCCCTAGCAACAGACATTAGTGCCATTAACAGTTCATTATACTTTCTTAAAGCCTGAACATCATTTCTACTGCAAGTGAAAATTGCTTAAGGGTATTAGCTCAAGAATAACCCCCCCACAACCCCACCAAAAAGCAAAGTTATGTGTGCACTCCTTCCTCTGCACTTAACAGATTTTTCAGATGCGTGAAATGATTGAAAGCATGAGACAAACATGTCAGCTTAAGATATCTCCTGGACTACCAGGTGTACATTAAGAAAATGTTTCATCACACAAGTCTGATTTAAGTGCAACAAAATTGCTGTTACAAAAGTAGAGATCAATTATTATCCCTCCCACTTCAAGAGTGGAAGTATCTGACGAAGTAGCGCAACTGTGATGTCAAATTTGAGGACGACAATTGATCTTGGAACTGAAGCTCACTTATGGAACTCTATGTGCACTCTATTGCTGTAAACAAGACAATAAATGATTCTAAAGATTTTTTTCTCAACTATAAAATAATGATTCAATATATCTGTTTGCAGTGCAATGAGGCTCTTTTCTGGAAGTCGAGAACAGAAGAACCCTTTGGAATGAGAACAGAAGAACCCACTAAAGTTGATTCCAAATATTAGCTAGCCAAATTAGGCCAGCTCAAGTTAGGTGTTTTGTTACCTTTCCAGATTCAAATGAAAAGCAGTAACTCACAGCTGTTAAAGAGGAAGTGGTGGCAGAGATAGCCAAGCAGCAGAGCAAGTCTGCTTACATAAATAGGTTCTACAGAAGCCTAGAGCATAGAATACTTAGGAAAATTTGTCACACCTATGAATTTGAGAGCCAATGTGATTACTGAAAATTCTCAGCTTATAACTTAGGAGTATTCATCCCTACCAAGCTTGTTCTATTTCTCCTTAGTAATGAGTAACAGCATCTACTTTCCTTAGCATTTCCAGTAGTTGTAGTTAATAGAGGTAGCTGAGCTACTGTTCAAACAAGTATTCTTTGTGGATGAGGATTTTTCAAATGTTTAAGTTACTATTAAGCTACACAAGTTTCTATTAATGCAATAAAATATAACAGGAAAAGAAAAATGGATGCAAGAAACTTTTGCATTTGGCACCTTGTCTAGATTGATACCTCAAGTATTCTCTTTTAATAAAGTTAATGCACACATCAGGACACACCACAAAGATTTGCTACATATTTACAAGGCACCAACCCTTTCTCACCTTAAACGTGAATTAAGCAAATCAATGAAAAGCATATCAAGATCCCCCCACCCACCCCAAAACTGCAGTATAAATATATACTTCAGTTCAGTACAGTTCATGAGAGTTTGGCCTGGGAAGAGTAAAATAATCCAGATCGTTCTTACAATATAGAAACTGTAAACATTTAATAGCTGCCTTTAGGATTGGTGTATTGTGCAAAAGTTATTATTACTGGGTATAGGAATCAAAATGGCAAAAACAAACTATATAAAACTCTGTAAGAAGGTGCTATACTTCTGTGATACAAAAGCAAAGAGGGATATCTTATTGAGATAAAAATGTCATGCTACTCTTAAGAAGCAGAATGCTCCTTTAATGTAGTAAATCTGTAGTGTGTCTGTGGTGTGTGTGTGTGTGTGTGTGCGTGTGTATGTATGTGTGTGTGTGTGCGCTTGTGTGCGCATGTCCACGCATGTGTATGTGCACACATGTATATGTGTGGGCAGAATTTGTTTTAATTTAAGGCCTAATGAGTAAGGCTTGTTTGAACAAATGAAGTGTGGAGATTAAAAGTCTTGAAACAAATGCATACTGGCATAATGGAAAAGCACCAATGTGAAAGGAAGCAGAAGTCCCCACACAACTTGCTTTGTGGATTTTCTGGTAAATTCCCTGCAGTAGAAGGCCATTGATTTTATTCTTAAAAATTACTCTAAATTCATTAACTGTTAATAATTCCATCCCATGAGATGGCTAACCCTGGCTTTTTCTGTCATTTTACGGACTCTGCCTGATCTGGATGTACCAAGATTCAGAGGATCCTCAGTGGACACAAAATTGTCATTATCCGAATCATCATTATACAAAACAGTCCTCCTGCCTTGGTTTCTTGTTTTGATTCGAGGAAGTCTACTGAAAGGTCCTGAAAACATGGTATCAAATTCATCATCAGCAATACGTGCTCGCTTGGCTCTGGAGGCTCCTCTAGATGCACCTCTTCCTCCTCTCCCTCGCCCTCGCCCTCTCCCCCCACCTCCACCTCTCCCTCGCCCCCCTCGCCCCCTGCCACCTCTGCCTCTGCCTCCTCTACTCCATCTACCCCATCTTCCCCATCTGCCTCTTCCTCCTGTGCCTCTCATCTTCCAGTTTCTCTTTCCATTGGCATGTTGTTTTCTGAGTTTTCTTTTAGGTCTGGTTTGTATGAATTTGCTATAGCCATGATCGCCATCTACATAATCTTGGTCTGTTCTGGAAGTAGATTCCGAGTCAGAATCGGAGCCACAGGTGCTTTCTGAACTTAAACTGGAGCCTAGCTCTCCACTCTCGGAGGAGGACAAATGCGCTTTCTCTTTTGTTTCTTTCATCTCCTTTTCTTCTCCTGCCATGCTTTCGTCCTCTTCTGATGCACTGAGTAGTTTCCTTTTGGCTCCTGTTCGGGGCTCTCTGCCATCGCCATTTGTAAGAGGCCCATCAGTGGAGTGATCTAAAGTAAAAATGAACGAGTTTTTGAGAAATCAAGCCTTGACATTGTAAGACAGCCATTCAGACTCAAAATCAAAATAATCTACTAAAAATATCTAGGGCCCCAAACTGACTGGACAGAATCAAAGGTGTTGGAATAGATCTTAGATCTATTTGAAGGGACAGATAGTTTGGATCCTTATTCCACACTTCTTTTGAAGTAAAAAAAAAAAATAGGCTGAGGGATTTTGAGTTTATCTGGGCAGAAATTTTAGCATAAACTTAAGAAGAATTATAAGGAAGCATACAAGTCTCATTTATTCAATTAATAAATCCTTAGCAATTAACTGGTATGAAACAGGTATTAGTAGGAGGTTGGAACTTGCTATCATACATCATGATTCATATACTACTAAGGACAGTTTGGATGATAACAAAGTGAATAAAAAACTAATACAATTTTAAGTAGAGAAAAATGCTAAACAATGAAAATAAGAGCACAAACATATTTGACTGTGTTTTGGGGTGCTATCTAGTAGATCAATGAGATGTTTCTTAGAATGCAATACTTAAAGAAAGAGTTAATGAAGTGAAATGTGGGGGAAAGTTTGAGTAGTAGAAAAAGAACTAAGAAAATTCAGTCTAGACAGGATGGAGTAGAAAAACGAAATGGTAGGAGATGGTCAGAGAAAGACAACATCTGATTTACATTTAAAAATATTACTGGTGTTCTATAGAGAACAGACTGTAGACGGTGGTTAAGTAGACAGAACTGGAGAAGAGACCCCTGAATCAGTAGTCTAGGTACGGCATAATGAGGGGTCAAGAACTGACATCTAATCTGGTACAACATTTCCACCTAGAAGGCCCACCAGAATAATTGTTTTTCAAAGGTGGAAACAATGGGACCTGCTGAAGGTTTTGATGCCAAATACTAAGAATAAAACAGTGTATCCCCTATGCTTTTAGTCTAAGACATGGGTAATGGGCAGAAATACTGGATGAGTTGGGAAACACTATACAAGACTATACAAGTTTGGGCAGCATGTTGAGAAAAGGCCAAGTTTTCTAGTTTTAGATGCCAGTAGACATCTAAAAAAGACATGAAAAAACAAACAGGGATTAAGAGGATAGCTCAATGGTAATATGCTTAGCATGCACAAAACCCTGGGTTCAGCTCTTGGTATACATTTGCATATGTATGTACATACATAAGCACAGCCAAAATGAAATGAGATATCATGCATGTCTACAAGCTGGATCTCCTAAGATTATGGAGCTAGGGAGGGAGTTCCAGACATTTTCAGTCTATGAAGAGAAATAAAGGGAGAGAAAATGGATGAGGAAAGCAAAGTATGTTATCTTAGCATTTAAAGGTAGAATTGCTAGGCCAAGGCCCTAACTCCCTAAGGAAATTCATTTGGAGACTGGAGTCCTTTACATAGTAAAGAAAGTTAATGAAGGTCACAATTATTATGGAAAAAACAAAGAGATTAGGAAGTTTCTAAGTTTCTCTCATCTTTTTACCCCCCCCCCCCCCACACACACACACATGGTTGGGAGTGAGGCCAGAGACAGAGGAGCACACAAAGGAACAGAAATATAGAGACAGACAAAATGGCCACAAGGAATACAGCTTAAATGTGGTCTTCTACAAGCCTGAGGAAAAGAAAGTTCTTGTCAGATAATACTCTCCATGCACCTTGATTCCTCAGACTTAGAGGCTCCAGAACTGTGGGAAAATGAAAGTCTGTTGTTTAAGCTCCTCGCTCTGGTATTTTATGGTTATCTAAAGTGACTAAGACACTCAGCTAGAGACTAAGTTGGTGTCACACACACACACACAACAAAAAAACGAGGAGATAAGCTATTTTAGTAGTATTTACGAATTATAGAGGGGCTGGAGAGATGGTGAAGAGGATTTGCTGTTCTTGCAGAGTTTGTTTTCCATGTGCCCACATGGGCAGCTCAAAACTGCCTATATCTCCAAGTCCAGGGGAATCTGATACTGTCTTCTGGACTCTGTGCACTAACACGTACAAACCCACAACCAGACACAAACATATATACAAAATCACAAATGCAAATTTAAAAAGATAGAATTAACAAGGCTTTACAACTATGTGGATGCAAGAGGAAAATGGAGAGTTGAAAATTACTGAGTAGGCCATGGTGATACGAGCTTCAAACTTCCCTACTCTGGAGTCTAAGTTAGAAAGATAAAGAATTTGAGGTGAGCTTAGACTACCTAGTGAGAGCACACCTTTAAAAATAAGATTTAATGGGATGTACTCGCTCATAATTGGTTTCTAGCCATAAATAAGGGCCACGGAGTCTACAATAGGTGAACCTAAAGAAGCTAAGTAAGAAGGTGAACCCAAGGAAAAACATACAGTTATCCTCTTGGCTAAGGGAAGTAGACCAAATTGCTGGGGAGAAAATTGGGATCTTGGGGGTGAGGTGGGATGGGGGTAAGGGAAGATAGGGAGAGAAAAGGTAGAAGGGAAGGAGGGGGGACTTGGGGAAACAGGAGAATTGGGATAAAGGAAGGGTGGAAAGGGGAGCACGGAACCACAATTCTTAGTTAAGGGAGCCACTTTAGGGTGGGCAAGAGACTTGACCCTAGAAGGGCTCCCAAGTGCCCAAGATGAGGTTCCCAGTTAGTTCCTTGGGCAGCTGAGGATTAGTAACCTGAAATGACCCTATCCTAGAGCAATACTGACGAATATCTTGCATATCATCATAGAACCTTCATCTGGTGATGGATAGAGACAGAGACCCACACAGGAGCACTGGACTGAGCTCCCAAGGTCCCAATGAGGAGCAGAAGGAGGGAGAACATGAGCAAAGAAGTCGGGACCACGAGGCATGCACCCACCCACTGAGACAGTGGAGCTGATCTACTGGGAGCTCACCAAGGCCAGCTGGACTGTGACCGAAAAAGCATGGGATAAAACCGGACTCTCTGAACATGGCGAACAATGAGGGCTGATGAGACGCCAAGGACAATGGCACGGGGTTTTGATCCTACTTAATGTGCTGGCTTTGTGGGAGCCTAGCCAGTTTGGATGTTCACCTTCCTAGATATGGACGGAGGGGGGAGGACCTAGGACTTACCACAGGGCAGGGAACCCGGACTGTTCTGTGGACTGGAGAGGGAGGGGGAGAGGAGTGGGGGGAGGGGGAGAAGGGTGGGAGGAGGGGGAGAAGGGTAGGAGGAGGGGGAGGGAAATGGGAGGCTGGGAGGAGGTGGAAACTTGTTTTTTTGTTTATGTTTTTTTTTTCTTTTCTCAATAAAAAAAATAAGATTTAAGTTGAGTGAAAAGGATGACTGTGAGACACAAACGTGATGAAAAGGAATGAAACTATTTTTAGGAAGCTCCTAGAAATGAGCCTGGTAGAATGAACAGATGTTTGGGTTGGTACATCTCCATAGGCCCTAGCATCAGGAAGATTAGTTTAAACTGGAAAAGGTGGCACATGCCTTTATTTCCAGCACCCAGGAGGCAGAGGCAGGCAAAACTCTGAGTCTGTGGCCAACCTGGTGTACATCGTGAGTTCCAAACCATCTAAGAACTACATAGTACCACCCTGGCCTATAAAAAATATGACGACTGCTTTAGTCAACAGATTTATTAGAGTTCTTTATTTGCAGAAGCCAAAGATCAAGAGAGCTAAAAATAGCAGAAAACTGCCAATAAAGCTCAGCACAAGCAAAGTAAAGACAAAGAACTGTATAGGAATATCAGCAGAGTCTAGAAAGCAGTGAAGACAAGCTTAGAGAAGAGGCAGGAAACAGTGTCCAGTGACACTGAGAACAGGAAGTTAGATACTGAGAAAAGGAACACTGCTTGGGCAGTCTGCATTACTGGTGATTGGGGGAGAAGAGCTTTGTGGAGAGTGCCTGGCACACAAACTAGGCTATGAAGGATAAAGGGTCATGGATGAAAGAAGAGGCATGAAATGTAGGCTACTCTGTCTATAAGCTTTCCCACGAAGAATAAATATGAACAAAGCAACAGAATCAGAGAGAAATAGATTTCAAAATGGGAACTATAAAAATAAGTCACAACTGCTTGTCAGTCTTTTATCGCAGATCAACAACAATGTGTTTCAATATTTTTCATATAACCAAGAATGTATTTATAGTCTATTTTAGGTCATCTGGTGATTATAAAACAATGCATAAGAAAAATTAATATCCACTAAAAATGTACATAAAGTTAAAATGAATTCCAAGTAACCTATTTGTAAAACCAAATTAAATATTTTTACAAACTTCAAATAGTTGAACATAGAAGTATCTTTGAGCATGTTCAAGGTGTGTACAGGACCCTTTATAAGAGCTTCTGGATAATAGTAAACTTCAAATACTTATAAAACCAATTCGCTTGGCATACAAGATAGATAAACATACTCATGAATTAAGTCAATGATTTTTGTAAGCACTAAATTTTTCTTCAAATATAAAGTTATTGAAACAGCCTGGAAGAAGGAGTGCTTTTGAAATATTTGAGACCTGTTCACTTCTTATTGACATGGTTTAATACATGAAAAATTCTGAATGTTTCCTGACAGTCTGGTTCTTATGCACTTGGGGAAAGAATTCTTCATTTCGTTTTGTTCTCTTATTCATTTCATTTTACATTCTGTTCAAAAGTAGTTGCCAAACATCTGTTCCAAACTGTGCTTATAAAATCCCTTTGACTTAAATTTGGCTATTATAATTCTTACTCGGTACCAAGACATACTAGCTGTACTGCCCTAACACATCATCTTTTTAAATGACTCGTCATCCATCATACAAAAATAGAAAACAAGTTACCTCTCCAATATTCCATTTCCTACCTTGTTTAACTGGTAAAACTCTATTACGAAATGATTTGGCTTTTCCTGGGTCATGGCTATTTCCACTTCGGCTATATCCACTGAAACTCGATGGAGAAAATGGCCCATCTCCTTCATCATCAAGTAGATATTGTGAAACACCTTCAGCAGCATCTGAAACTTATGTTTAAAGAGATTATGATGTTAACATAATTTTGTTTTTCAGGAAATTTTAATACAGGCTGCTTTTAAAACTACCTTCACTACTTTACTTCATGATAAAATTAAACATTGCTTTACAACTGGTATCCCACATATATTCCCAGCTTTTTGGAAACTCAGCTAGGAGGACAGTGAGTTTGAAATCTATTTTGGCTACTTAGCAAGACCCTAGAGCCCACCCCCAAAGTAAGTATGAGTATGTGACAACAGGAAAACAAACGATTTATCATCACTAAAAACTTTCAAATACAAAATGTCAAAAAAAAAAAAACCTGAGAAAAAACCTCCATCACATATTAATCTCCAAGTCTTACACTGACAAATATATTGTACACATTCTTGGAGATATTATAGATAATAAAAATCATACAGCTACAGAACTTTCAAAGGGACATTTAATTTAGATTCATACAGTTAGGTGTTAGAGAGAGAAGGCTCAGCATTTAAAAGTATTGGCTGGCTCACCTTCCTAAACCTGAACGGAGGGGGGAGGACCTTGGACTGCCCACAGGGCAGGGAACCCTGACTGCTCTTTGGACTGGAGAGGGAGGGGAAGGGGAGTGGGGTGTGGGGAGTGGGGGGAGGGGGAGAGAAAAGGGAGGTGGGGAGGAGGCGGAAATTTTTAATTAAAAAAATTAATAAAAAATAATAAATAAATAAATGCTGAGAATAAAATAAATAAATAAATAAATAAATAAATAAACAAACAAATGAATAAATAAATAAATAAATAAATAAATAAATAAATAAATAAATAAATAAGTAAAAGTGTTGGCTGCTCTTCTATAGGATCCGAGGAAGATTCCCAGCACCCACATGGCAGCTCACAACCATCTGTAATTCCAGTTTCAGGGGATCTGCCACCCTCTTCTGGCCTCTGCGAGTACCAGGAATGTACATGGAGTATAAATGCACAGGTAGGCAAAAGACTCATAAATACACAATAGATTTTTTTTAAAGTGGTTTTGAAAAATCACCTAATCAAAGAAACCAAATCACTTTACCTAATGTCTTACAGGAGTGCCATACAGCTAGCAAGTAAAATAATGATTAAAATGTAATTTTTCTAAATCCAAATCTATTGCTCTTTGTACTATAAACAGTGATACCAACTCTATATCCTTTAATTAGCACCAAAATTATAGAACACAAAACCAAAGATATATTTACCAGGAGAAGAGAAAGGAGAACCAGTCCTGGCATAAGACACTGAGGTATTCTGGTCATTTTTAGGCTGTAACTTCATTTGCTTCTGCTTCCCTTTCGGGCTGTAAATAAATAAATAAATATAGATATACAATTATGAACATTTTTTTCTGTTAGTAATTCAATATGATGAACAATATGACACAAAATTCTGATGGTGACCAAAATGGAAACTACCTAGAACTTCAAGTGAAATACCTAAAGTAGGTGAGCTGACAAAGTGAAGCTTCAATCACATAACAAAATTAAAAAATTAAAAATTTAAAGGCACAGTAAAATCAGCATAATCAATACTTTGGGCTACAAACTCCACCTTTGCACAGAAACAGGACTTCTTTTTTTTTTTTTTAATTTATTTATTAAGGATTTCTGCCTCGTCCCCGCAACCGCTTCCCATTTCCCTCCCCCTCCCCCGATCAAGTCCCCCTCCCTCATCTGCTCGAAGAGCAATCAGGGTTCCCTGACCTGTGGGAAGCCCAAGGACTGCCCACCTCTATCCAGGTCTCGTAAGGTGAGCATCCAAACTGCCTAGGCTCCCACAAAGCCAGTACGTGCAGTAGGATCAAAAACCCACTGCAATTGTTCTTGAATTCTCAGTATTCCTCATTGTCCGCTATGTTCAGCTAGTCCGGATTTATCCCATGCTTTTTCAGACCTAGGCCAGCTGGCCTTGGTAAGTTCCCAATAGAACATCCCCATTGTCTTAGTGTGTGGGTGCACCCCTCGTGGTCCTGAGTTCCTTGCTCGTGCTCCGTCTCCTTCTGCTCCTGATTTGGACCTTGAGATTTCTGTCTGGTTGGGAATATACCCAAGAGAGGCCCTATCATACAACAAAAGTATATGCTCAACTATGTTCATGGCAGCATTGTTTGTAATAGCCAGAACCTGGAAACAACCTAGATGCCCTTCAACGGAAGAATGGATGAAGAAAGTATGGAATATATACATATTAGAGTATTACTCAGCAGTAAAAAACAAGGACTTCTTGAATTTTGCATACAAATGGATGGAAATAGAAAACACTATCCTGAGTGAGGTAAGCCAGACCCAAAAAGAGGAACATGGGATGTACTCACTCATATTTGGTTTCTAGCCATAAATAAAGGACATTGAGCTTATAATTCATGTTCCTAGAGAAGCTAAATAAGAAGGTGAATCCAAAGACAAACACATAGGCATCCTCATGAATATTAACCTTCATCAGGCGATGAAAGGAGACAGAGACAGAAACAGGACTTCTTGAGTCCCCTGAGACGTGCTAAGTTTACTCGCCAACCTTACGGATGAGCTACCACATACAAAGTGCTTTAATGCCTACTGCTACATCAGTGTAATGTACCTAGGAGCTCTGCTGCTGGACAGTGAGCTGCTGCTGCTTCTCAGGCGTTTCCTGTACCGAGGCCTTCTCCTCTTCTGACTTTGGATTGCTGACTTATATTCAGAGATGATATTTTTAATGTGATTTTCAAATAAGGCAGACAATCTCAGCGTCATGCTATAGATCTGGAAAGGTGGAAAGCACAGCCTTGTTTTAGCAATCACAGAAGAGGATGAACATCATTCCCGATGGAAAACACACACTAGCTATTTGAAATTCTGGAGGAATTAAGATGTCATTTTCATTTATTAAAAGTAATAAAAACTTTAAAAGATAGTATTTAGTGCTGTGAATGACGGGAAAATCCTCATATATTATAAGATAATTTTTACTGAGACAATATCCCAAAAGATAATTTAAAATATGTATCATAAAACATTAAAGATACACCTATCATTTGGTTAATAATTTGACCTCTGGAAATCTGTTGTAAGGAACAATCAGGGGACTATACACACATGATAAAAATGCTAAATGATATTAAAGACTTTAGCTAGTCATTATTCGTGTAAAGTAGGAAATTATTTTTTAAATCACTCAATTTTCTAGTAACAGAATACTAGTAAAAAATGAAATCAACAAAACTCCAATAAACCATTAAATAGTCAGAGAAAAGAATACCATCAAAAACCTCATTTTAAACAGTCATCATACAGATCAGATCATCTCTTAACCCTCATCAGAGAAACTTGCCCCTTACAGCAGATGGCACTTAACGTCGAGACCCACAATTGGTCAGTGTGCAGAAAGCAAAAGTGTAAAGTGCTCAGCCCCAATCAGACTTTCATATTTCACCCCAAGGCTCAGGGATCTTCACAGAAGAGAGGGGAGAAAGGCTGTTAAGAGCCAGAAGTGGTGGATGACTTCAAGGAAGCAGGACAGATACACATACGAACCCAGAGAGAATATGAAAGCATGTACAAGTTCTGCATAAGGTCCAGACAGACAAAATCCCAGCTTAGAGGGCAGGAAGGTTGATCATGTAATCCTATCACTAGCTGAGGGGCTATATAGCATGTAATGGTGACCCATTTTAATGAGGTGACATCCCATGGTTGGCTAAGAATAAGAGATTCCAAGACTATCTGGGCAACAAAATTGGTTTGATGAGAAATGAATTAAAAGAAAAAAGTAAGTTCAAAGTTGGGTGGGAAGGGATGGGACGTTTGACAGGGTAATAAGTGATTATGTTCAAAATATATTGCATGAAATGCTCAAATAATTAATAAAAATGATGTTTAAAATCATAATACACATATAACAATGACTTTAAATATGAAATCTAATATTTTATAAGCACCTGAATGTTAAGTTTAGTATAGATAGGACTAGAAGAAAGCACATTAAATATTAACTATAAATAAAAATGTGATAGTTTGATTTTTAAAATATTTTTCCATATTTTTCAAACTTTCTATTACTCTAAAAGTTATGATGAAAGGGAAAAGGAAATGCAAAAAAATTACAACCTAGAGAAATTGGTGAAAATTTTACTGTATATTAAAGAGTTGAAGCATTTAGACATATGCATACCATGCAACTAATCTGACAGTAAGACACTAGTGGCTCCAAAAGAGAAATATTACTGTTTCTATTTCTTGTTCTCAAGATATTTTCAGTTTTGATAATATATAAGGAAATGTTTAACATGAATATGAATAAAGTTGTAACTTCCCAAAAGGGATGACTTTGTGATAGTAATGGGAATATCTATATTAAGAGCTAATTAAAACATTTCATATAAACTAATATTGTCAACTACCTTTATATTTTATTTATCAGTTCATTTAATGGAGATTTGAGTATTTAAATTATTAACTTTCCTTTCTTTTTCTTTTCTCTGGCAGATGTAATTATCATTAAAGAATAAAGTAAGATAAGAGAAAGAAAAAGCTGCTTAATTTCAGAATTATTCTAAAAGTATATTTACATATGCCTTGAAAAGAATCCAGAGTGCATAGAAGATACTGAGAATGCAACTTGTTTACAGATCTTGCAAACTGTGGAAGGAAAACTGCCTGAAATACATAACTGCCCATTTAATATTAGTTTCATACCCTTGACTTTTTATTAGAAGTATAAGCTTTGGAGTTGCTGAATATTTGGCGAACATCTTTATAAAATTCCAGAGGACTATCATAATTTCCTGATTCCAAAGTTTCTTTCACAGTGCTGAAGTCCATAGGTGTGTCTATACCATCTTGATAATCCTACAAATGATAATGTGTTACATTTAAATACTCAAATTGCAAAACAATCCTAAATAAAATAGCACTGAGAATTACATTACCCACTGAAGCAAGTTATCTTGACACAAACACCACCTTTATGTCTACCAACTACTTATTCCCGCTCCCAAACCAAATCCTTTTTAGGTTTCTGAAAATAACATGAGTTTAAAGGGTTAAAAAAGAAAAGTCAAAGTCGCTGGCTTGAGCTGCTGACACAGTGCCAAAGTTATCTAATGACAGATGATGGGATTTTCAGGTAGAATTGCAGAGTCCCACTCCACAAACTACCTTCATATTTCCAAGATTCTGAGTTAGGACATTTCACATAAGTTGTCACTAGTTGAGGTCAAAGTTTGTGCCGGGTACCCCTCTTCTCTGTCTATATGCAGTGGAGGCTGGCTTTAAACTCCTGATTCTCCCATCTCAGCCTCTCAAGGACCAGGGTTATAATTCTGCACCATCACATTTGGCTGCCTTTTGGATCTTTAACCAATGTGATTTGTTATTTCATCTCAAGTTTTCAGTCTCACCGATTCAGAACTTAGTTTGATTGCAATTAGAAGAAAGAAAATCCATTTTAACTTAAATCTTTCAAGTCCATTAAGTTTTTCCAAGGGCTATCATATAGAATAATATCTGAAACAGACTTATATTTCCCACTACCCTGAATACCTTTCAGTAAAACACATATGTATTCAGTCACTCATGTTACTTACAATGTTAAGAAGTAAAACCACCACATTTTCATCTACCAAGAAAGAGAAAAGAGCAAAAAAGTAGCAGAGAAAGGGTATTAAAATAGATTTCCTTAAGTTATAAAAACACCAAAAGTATATTCCAACAGCTTATGCCTTCTAAAGCAGTGATATTTTCATAAGGAATAATGTTGGAACGTGTATAGTAAGACAAGAACTCAAATTCCTCAGCTGACTATTTAGGGAAATCTGTGCGGGAAATATCACTGTGACACAGATATAATAAAGTCCACTGAATGTTCTCTGCTTTGCTGCATGGCTTTCTAGCCATATCTCCAAATAAACAACTATATGATGTCATGAAGAACAATTCTGAACACACGCTGATTCAAAAACCAAAATTAAAAAATTAAAATGACCAAAAATTTAAACAAAGGTATAAAAAGAAACTAAGTTGAATTGAAAGGCAAATTGAGCAAAGTGCACAAAATTTGTGTTTGGCATGAAAAGTTTCAAAGGGAACACCACAAAACCAGCCTAAGCCTACCTCAGACTGAGATGGATCTTGACTATCTGGAAGAGCTGATGCTGAGGGTTCTCCTTCTTGCTGTTGGTGAGCCTGTCAGGATAAGGAACACAGGTCATTTTCACATCACCACTCCACAGGATCAAGACTTGCAATGAAGTTGTGATTCAAAGGCTCAAAAATCCACAAACAAAAATAATGTTTTACTTGAAAGATTTCTGTGTTTACCATACTCTGCTTTGAAAAATATAAGCCTCATGTGTCCTCCTCAAACTTCCTACAAACAAATCAAACTTAGTTGATTGCAATATTGTTACTTCTTTTTCATTCCAAAACATACACAATATGTTCCCAAGTGTCTACAGTATATGGAGTTGTCACATATTTATAAAAGAAATCCTAGTCACAGGGCAAAGTAGTGCGTGCCTTTAATCCTAGCAGTGGGGCACACAGTGTCAGCTTAGGACACAGTAGTCCCATACCAGCCTGGAGAATACAGTTAGACCCTGTCTTGAAAGTAAAAATAATTCTATAATCTAAACTGTCATAATGTTATCTTGTTGAAAAGTAACGTTGGTATGTGGATAATTATAAGTAGCCATATTGATAACAAATTTACTATAAATTAAACAGGTTTGACATATATTATTACTAAGTCTACAGTGTGTAAAGGTATTATTAGAAGTTAGTTGACTAAAATAAATAAATTAAAGCATGAACTAAATGAAAAGGGCTTTTCATTTGTTTTCTTGTAGACGGCATCTCACTATGCAGTCCTGGCTCGCCTGGATCTCTGTGAAGACCAGGCTGCCCTCAAAAGCCCCATTATCCAGCTGTCTCTGCCTGTGAGGAAAGGCATGTGCCGCCACATCCAGGTGATTCCAGTCTCTTCTAGCAACTATATCAATTCCATCCTAAGTCCATGGCTACTGTTTTAAAGAGTTATAACTAAAAGGAAAATTGTTCAGACATAGATACTAGCTTGGATAATTAACAGAAATCATCCTGTTGGTAATTATTTCAGCAATGGGATGCTTACTGGTTGAGAAGGAGGATCTGCAGGCTGTCGAAATGGCTCTGAGTCTTCACGTTCATAAATGAGGCTCAATAGTTCTTTGCATTGTTTTTTCCAAGCGTCAGGATTACACTTCAAAGACGGTCTTCTGCCTCGACATTTGACCTACAAATCAAAGAGAATTAACCAGAACTATTCCTTGATTTTCTCAGAAAAGCCTGGTATTACCCAAGTCCAGATCTAAGCAGCCATGTTAACACGGCCATCACCCCGATGGCAGTCACTTGTATAAGATGCACCAGCTACTGCTTATATGTCTTACTTAAAAGCGCCATTCTGTCTTGCAAAAAAAAAAAAAAAAAAAAAAAAAGCAAATGCCAACAATTCTAGTATTCTGTATTTCCTTTCAAGAAAATCTAAACTGCAAATAAAGTACAGACAAGTAAATGTCTCCCTACTCCCCTTGACTTAAAAAGTGTCGACCTGTGGCCAGTACTTGGGAGCCTGAACTGTCTCTTGAATTGTAAAGACTGTTTATTTAAACAGTATAAACAACATTACTGTGCAGATGGCCTGCTTTTCTTGTAGGAATCTGGGATGAAGATATGTCTTAGTCAGAAGGTGCCTACATACCCCAGTCACTAGTAAAATTTTTGGTAACTGAGTCACTAATCACATACATATTTCCGTTTTTATTGCTGTGAGAAGACTGCTGTATAGTCCCCTCATAGGAGAAAGAAAACCTATGGGAACTGATATGGTTCCACCCAGCCCTTGCTGTTTTTTTCTTGCGTTTGGTCTGTATGTCGCGGCCTGCTGCTGTAATGAATCTAAATCATGTGTAAGCTATGTATTTGCTTCCAAGAGTCTCAGCTACTCTCAAAAAATTGGGATAAGGACTTCCCACAGGACAGGGAACCCTGATTGCTTTTCGGGCTGAGGGGGGGGGGGGGACTTAATTAGGGGAGGGGGAGGGAAATGGGAGGCGGTGGCTGGGAAGAGACAGAAATCTTTAATAAATAAATAAATTAAAAAAAAAAGAATTGGGATCTCTTGACTCAGGAAACCTGGAAATGTTTGATCTCAGAAAGTTACTCATTTCCTCACCCTTCTTCCAGATGAAGTTCCAGGACCATCTGAATCTAAATCGACCATTTCTGTATCCTAAAAGAAAAAAGGAAAGTGAGACGCGCTAAGTCACATTAGAAGGGGTACAGATTAAAATGCATATTCACAAGTAAATAGCAAAGATAACGACAGTTAACTTTCGTTCATTGAGGCGGGCAGCAGAGCAAATGTAGGAGGGAGAGTCACTTCAAACTGTGATAATACATTGTGTATAGGTTAGAAAATATACCGGGAGGAAAATAAAAAGGCTTTCTCTTTAAGTTAGAATAAGAAATAAGGGAAAAGGTGAACTTTGTAGTCAAATAAGTATGAGTATGAAAAAAATCTTATTCTATATGACATACCATAATCTGATATACCATAATCATGACTTATTCCCAATTAAACATTGCTAGTTCAATAATTAGGACATTTTCCCAAGGGAAATATAAATTTGTCCTAATTCAGTTAAGTATGTCTCAGAGTGATAAGTTTATCAATACAAAGTCCAGACCTAGGCACCACTGGTGAAGGGCACAACAACTCCATAATGCATAGGAGAAATGAGATCAGGCCTTATTGATATTCCTTCGCAATAAAATCAAGTTCTTAAAACTTTACATTTCATTTCTATTCTAAGCAAAACAGTGTGAGTTTGTGGAGAAAGTCTTATTACATCAAAATCCTAAATTGAAATATATTAATGTTAAGGGTTAGGAAAAATATAAGAAAAAAATGAATAATTTTGCTTGATTTTTTTTAATTGGTTAGTATCTAACTGCTGTATCACATTTTCCATATTACTTGACTAAATAGCATTTAGGTATATTAAAATACATTATTTGATAGTCACATAAACTTATACCAGGAAAGTGTCACTTGAAATTACCATCTAAAGACTAAAGATGCAAACAAAATGTTGTGGGATAATCTTTTTTTTTTTTTTGTATACTGTAAGATGTGCCTAAGGCTCCTTCTGATTGGTTTAATAAAGAGCTGGATGGCCAATAGCTAGGCGGGAGAGAATAGGCGGGACTTCTGGGCAGAGAGAGAAACTCAGCATTAGAAACAGGTTAAGTTATAAGAGCTAGTTAGGAACTAGTCTAAAATTAACATCAACTAAACAGGTTTTTTTCTTTTTGATTTGTCAAGACAGGGTTTCTTTCTCTGTGTAGCCCTGGCTGTCCTGGAACTCACTCTATATATCAGGCTGGCCTTGGACCTCAGAGATCCATTTGCCTCTGCCTCCTAAGTGCTGGATCATAGGTGTGCACTACTGCTGCCTAGTTCGAAC